ATGTCCCACCTACCCCGGAACATAAAAGCACTACAGGGGTAAAGATTTTAAAGTCTGGATTTAGCTGGATTTCGGTCATTTTGGGATGGGCGTGGCCCCTGGGAGTGGCCCGAGTGGGTTGAGAGGTCGAAACTTGATTTTTATGATGGTTTGGGACAGGCAGAACCCATTTTTAAACTAAAACATGTCCCACCTACCCCGGAACATAAAAGCACTACAGGGGTAAAGATTTTAAAGTCTGGATTTAGCTGGATTTCGGTCATTTTGGGATGGGCGTGGCCCCTGGGAGTGGCCCGAGTGGGTTGAGAGGTCGAAACTTGATTTTTATGATGGTTTGGGACAGGCAGAACCCATTTTTAAACTAAAACATGTCCCACCTACCCCGGAACATAAAAGCACTACAGGGGTAAAGATTTTAAAGTCTGGATTTTAGCTGGATTTCGGTCATTTTGGGATGGGCGTGGCCCCTGGGAGTGGCCCGAGTGGGTTGAGAGGTCGAAACTTGATTTTTATGATGGTTTGGGACAGGCAGAACCCATTTTTAAACTAAAACATGTCCCACCTACCCCGGAACATAAAAGCACTACAGGGGTAAAGATTTTAAAGTCTGGATTTTAGCTGGATTTCGGTCATTTTGGGATGGGCGTGGCCCCTGGGAGTGGCCCGAGTGGGTTGAGAGGTCGAAACTTGATTTTTATGATGGTTTGGGACAGGCAGAACCCATTTTTAAACTAAAACATGTCCCACCTACCCCGGAACATAAAAGCACTACAGGGGTAAAGATTTTAAAGTCTGGATTTTAGCTGGATTTCGGTCATTTTGGGATGGGCGTGGCCCCTGGGAGTGGCCCGAGTGGGTTGAGAGGTCGAAACTTGATTTTTATGATGGTTTGGGACAGGCAGAACCCATTTTTAAACTAAAACATGTCCCACCTACCCCGGAACATAAAAGCACTACAGGGGTAAAGATTTTAAAGTCTGGATTTAGCTGGATTTCGGTCATTTTGGGATGGGCGTGGCCCCTGGGAGTGGCCCGAGTGGGTTGAGAGGTCGAAACTTGATTTTTATGATGGTTTGGGACAGGCAGAACCCATTTTTAAACTAAAACATGTCCCACCTACCCCGGAACATAAAAGCACTACAGGGGTAAAGATTTTAAAGTCTGGATTTTAGCTGGATTTCGGTCATTTTGGGATGGGCGTGGCCCCTGGGAGTGGCCCGAGTGGGTTGAGAGGTCGAAACTTGATTTTTATGATGGTTTGGGACAGGCAGAACCCATTTTTAAACTAAAACATGTCCCACCTACCCCGGAACATAAAAGCACTACAGGGGTAAAGATTTTAAAGTCTGGATCTTAGCTGGATTTCGGTCATTTTGGGATGGGCGTGGCCCCTGGGAGTGGCCCGAGTGGGTTGAGAGGTCGAAACTTGATTTTTATGATGGTTTGGGATATGTACTACATATTTAACCACCAAAACATGTTTCAAATACTCAGCAACACAAATCCCCTTCAGGGCCCAGGGGTAAAGATTCTCATTCTGGATTTTTAGGGATTTGTCACAGATTTCAAGCTATTTGGGATGGGCGGCCTGAGTGGGGTTGGATGTGTTACTTAGATTTTCATATCTTATAAGTGTCTATAAAAGTATAAGTACGAGCAGTTTATTGAGACTTCTGACTTCTACCGTCGTAGATTCTACAATGATAAATATTGTAACGTACGTGCGGCGCGCGAAATCCACTACAAAATCCACTACAAAATTCAGGGAAACGTCTTCTGGTTCGAGTTGATGAATCCAGATTTTTGGAACATTTTTGGAACATTTTTGGAACATGTCCCAAAATTGTCCCAAAAGTGTCCCATGCATTTATTTGCCCTAATAAGCTCTAAATAGTGCCAAAAATAATTGTAAATGATGGATATAGGTAAAAACTAGGCCTAAGAGCCATCAAAACTCAAATAACATTACCCAGGTTCATGGAATGAACGAAAATGAACAAAAATAAATATTGTCCTAAAAATGCTCAGAACGGTTTAAAATTGGTCGGAAAGTGTTTATATTGGTCCTATGACCACTCAAACCAAGTTTGGGAATCACTGCATGTCTAGAACCGATGTTACCTATGTTCCAAAATGTTCCAATTTTGGGACAATAATCCTCCTGAGAATCCAGATTTTTGGAACGTGGGCACATCGAAGTATTGGCTGTATTTAAGTGCTGGGAAGCCTCAATTCGAATTTTCTAAGATGGATATAGGTAAAAACTAGGCCTAAGAGCCATCAAAACTCAAATAACATTACCCAGGTTCATGTAATGAACGAAAATGAACAAAAATGAATATTGTCCTAAAAATGCTCAGAACGGTTTAAAATTGGTCGGAAAGTGTTTATATTGGTCCTATGACCACTCAAACCAAGTTTGGGAATCACTGCATGTCTAGAACCGATGTTACCTATGTTCCAATTTTGGGACAATAATCCTCCTGAGAATCCAGATTTTTGGAACATGGGCACATCGAAGTATTGGCTGTATTTAAGTGCTGGGAAGCCTCAATTCGGTTTTCTAAGATGGATATAGGTAAAAACTAGGCCTAAGAGCCATCAAAACTCAAATAACATTACCCAGGTTCATGTAATGAACGAAAATGAACAAAAATGAATATTGTCCTAAAAATGCTCAGAACGGTTTAAAATTGGTCGGAAAGTGTTTATATTGGTCATATGACCACTCAAACCAAGTTTGGGAATCACTGCATGTCTAGAACCGATGTTACATATGTTCCAAAATGTTCCAATTTTGGGACAATAATCCTCCTGAGAATCCAGATTTTTGGAACATGGGCACATCGAAGTATTGGCTGTATTTAAGTGCTGGGAAGCCTCAATTCGGTTTTCTAAGATGGATATAGGTAAAAACTAGGCCTAAGAGCCATCAAAACTCAAATAACATTACCCAGGTTCATGGAATGAACGAAAATGAACAAAAAATGAATATTGTCCTAAAAATGCTCAGAACGGTTTAAAATTGGTCGGAAAGTTTGGGAATCACTTCATGTCTAGACCCGATGTTACCAATGTTGTCACAATAATCCTCCTGAGCATCCAGATTTTTGGAACATGGGGACATCGAAGTGCTGGGAAGCCTCAATTCGGTTTTCTAAGATGGATATAAAAAAACTAGGCCTTATAGAGGAGCCATCAAAAGTCGAATAATATTACCCAAGTTTATGGAATGAACAACGAACATGAAAATTTTCCTCAAAGCACTCAGAATGGTTAAAAAATGGTGGCAAAGAGTCAATATTTTCGTCCAACAGGGTCTTAAAGTTGCATTCAGAATTATGTACAATTAAACAGAAATTATTTAATTGGGCAAATATTTTTGTTTTAATAATCCTCCAATATTTTGATATAAATGCTTCCCAGCACTTAAATACAGCCAATACTTCGATGTGCCCATGTTCCAAAAATCTGGATTCTCAGGAGGATTATTGTCCCAAAATTGGAACATTTTGGAACATAGGTAACATCGGTTCTAGACATGCAGTGATTCCCAAACTTGGTTTGAGTGGTCATAGGACCAATATAAACACTTTCCGACCAATTTTAAACCGTTCTGAGCATTTTTAGGACAATATTCATTTTTGTTCATTTTCGTTCATTTCATGAACCTGGATAACGTTATTTGAGTTTTGATGGCTCTTAGGCCTAGTTTTTACCTATATCCATCTTAGAAAACCGAATTGAGGCTTCCCAGCACTTAAATACAGCCAATACTTCGATGTGCCCATGTTCCAAAAATCTGGATTCTCAGGAGGATTATTGTCCCAAAATTGGAACATTTTGGAACATAGGTAACATCGGTTCTAGACATGCAGTGATTCCCAAACTTGGTTTGAGTGGTCGCAGGACCAATATAAACACTTTCCGACTAATTTTAAACCGTTCTGAGCATTTTTAGCACAATGTTCAATTTTGTTCATTTTCGTTCATTACATGAACCTTGGTAATGTTATTTGAGTTTTGATGGCTGTTAGGCCTAGTTTTTACCTTTATCCATCTTATAAAACCGAATTGAGGCTTCCCAGCACTTAAATACAGCCAATACTTCGATGTGCCCATGTTCCAAAAATCTGGATTCTCAGGAGGATTATTGTCCCAAAATTGGAACATTTTGGAACATAGGTAACATCGGTTCTAGACATGCAGTGATTCCCAAACTTGGTTTGAGTGGTCCTAGGACCAATGTTAACACTTTCCGACCCATTTTAAACCATTCGGAGCACTTTGAGAAGAATGTTCATTTTCGTTCATTTCTGGTCATTCCATGGGTAATTTTATGCGACTTTTGATGGCTCCTAGGCATAGCTTACTATATATATACGGCTATATCCATCTTAGAAAACCGAACTGAGCCTTCCGAGCACTCAAATACGGCCAATACTGCGATGTACCCATGTTCCAAATTTATGGATTCATCTACTGTCTTCTGGGCGCGTTGATGGAAAACGTGATACATTTTGGTTTAACATTTTGCGCGCAACACGTACTCATTTTCACGCTGCGCGCGACCGTAATGCACGTGCTATTTTGTGATCTTATGATTTTACTCACTTGCCGCTACTGTAACAGTTTTCATTGCATGGTGTTGTCAGTGTACGGTGGTAATAATTCTGACGTTTTATCACACGTGTGTAAAAACTATCTAACTTTCCACGAACTGTGAATTGTTAAAAGCTTAGATTCGTTTCTTCCTTTTATTTTTAAAGGTAAGATCATAATTAGTGACGCTAACTGCTAAAAAGCCCTGACTTCGCCAAAACAACCCCATTGTTAACACTAACAGCTATAACAGTTGCCATTTATTGACATCAATATATTCCGGCCTGTCAGCTGAATGCTACCAGACGGTCTGAGAGACAATATTTAATCTTTCACTTTTACTTTCACTTTCACTTTCCCGTTTACTTTCACTTTCATTTTAACTGTACTATTCCCAGGTTGCGGGCCTGTCAGCAGGATGTTATCTGAGGGTTCAAATCGTGAAGGCGGACATCAACAGATGGCAAAACTCCTATAGTTAGTTTTACCACGTGACAAAATCGTGAAAATGTGATTCGTGAGTCGTGTGTGTGTTAGCAAAGATATCCGTATGATGTGAAGCACGTTCGTTACTCGTGAGAAGCACGGTCGATCAGACGTCCCTTCCTCCCCGTCCGCGTCCTCCTCTCCTTCTCCCCTCCTTCTCCCTCTTCTTCTCACTCTCCTCTTCTCCTCCCCCTCCCCAATAGGGGTCGTTCACATATTACGTAATCATTTTTTGGAATATTTTTACCCTCCTCCCCCCCCCCCCTCCGTAATCAGTTTTACACATAGCTATTGTGAACGACCCCATAACAAGCTGTAGATTAGCGATCCGATCGAATTGCCTGACTTTTTTGTTAAAAATCAAGATTTTTAATGTGGTCAGCATGGCTGGCTTTACCATCTCCCTCCATCCCTAATAGTAAATGTTGATTTATTTGTATTTTGGCACTGTCTACGTAGAATAGATTCAATTATATCATTCAAATATGTCCGCTTTCATAGCAAGAATAATAATCTATCTATCGCTTCCAAAGAGATACCTAACAAATTGTTTTGTTCAGATAAGCTTTGAAGAGCGATATGAGAAGTAAGATTAACGACGCTGGAAGTCCTCTCACATAGAATAAATAAGCAACCCCTTAACGGTTAACCTGGAGGGCCACTACTTCCTGAAAAATGTAGAGGAAATTACGACTTCGTGAAACTGATAAAGTTAGGCAAATAGTGACAGAGCATGGTTATTTGAATTGGTTGAAATATACACTTGGGGGGGGGGCCAATGGCATAAAATGGCATAAAATGGCATAAAATGGAGACTTTTTCTATGGAGAAAATGGAAAAACCCATGAGTAATTCTCCATTTTCTCCATTTTATGCCATGAATTTTGTCTTCGAAATTTCATCTTTAACACCATTTAACACCTAAATTGGACATCCTAACATGTTTATTTACGCTTACTAGGGGCGTAACAAGCTTATGAAAGCTCATAGTAGGCTACTAAATGCTTATACTAGGTTAGTAGAGGCACACTTCAGGCAAACTCATAATTACTCAAGCCTAGTGTAAAGTTATTTCTACAGGCTACAGCAGGAGTGAGTAATAGGGGAGGGTAATAGGCACCGAGAAGTGAGACCTACATCCTCGAAAGTCGAAACAAGCTCACACTGCAAAGGGGAGGCCTGCCTTCCGAGATCGCATTACCAGGGGGAAGCCTCGAGTCCAAATTTGTGTATCGAGGGGTAGGTGCAGACTTCGATAAACCGAAAAACCAAAAAATATTTTCTGCTAATAATGAAGAGGGTAGCATGAAACGTGGAGAAAAGTGGTTTTTAGAAAAACTTTGAAAAATTTTGACTTATAAAATTTTCGGCCCGAGTCATTCTCGATACGTACCTCTCGTATCGAGAGCTCCCGATTCCGAGCTCGTGTTGCAAAGGGGAGGCCTGCCTTCCGAGATCGCATTACCAGGGGGAAGCCTCGAGTCCAAATTGTGTACCGAGGGGTAATTTTCTAAGTCAAAATTTTTCAAAGTTTTTCTGAAAAACACTTTCTCCACGTTTCATGCTACCCTGTTCATTATTTGCCGAAAATATTTTTTCGGTTTTTCGAAGTTCACACCTTCCCCTCGATACACAATTTTGGACTCGAGGTAATGCGATCTCGGAAGGCAGGCCTCCCCTTTGCAACACGAGCTCGGAATCGGGAGCTCTCGATACGGGAGGTACGTATCGAAAATGACTCGGACCGAACATTTTCTAAGTCAACATTTTTCAAAGTTTTTCTGAAAACCACTTTTCTCCATGTTTCATGATACCCTGTTCATTATTGGCCGAAAATATCTTTTTTTAAAATAATTTTTCTCGAAATTCTAAATTTTTCAGGTTTTCAATGGCATAAAATGGCATAAAATGGCATAAAATGGAGACTTTTTCTATGGAGAAAATGGAAAAACCCATGAGTAATTCTCCATTTTCTCCATTTATGCCATTGGCCCCCCCCCCCATACACTTAGACCAACACATTGTTGACAATTTGATAAACTCCGAACTAAACTGCCATATGTTCCGCTGCGTGTACTTTGTGAAGATTTGTAATGTCTGGAGAAAGAAAGTTGTTCTGTAATGCTTTTTTTCTATCATATTTTGTAAGTGTGCGCGGGAAGTTGACAGGACATTTATTGTCGTATATCTATTGTCGCCGTTAGGAATTTGCAATACTAAAGGTTGATTGATCAACTCAATGGATATGAGCATTGTGATAGTTTAGCCTCCGATCACATGCTGTTAGTGTTACTATTGAACTTCTGTAAGTTATATTTAATTTCGTAACATAACCTCCTAATTATAGCATATTAATTATTATGCCGTGGCCGTATCTGTGACGAGCATGTTGAGGCTTGAAGAAAGTCATCAGTTGTCATTGAAATGGCAGGTACTTTGTGCTTTATTTGCTTTGAAACATTATATTCAATCTGGGTTTGTTTTCATATGTTGGTCACAGATACAGTTAATCATCAAATTCCGATTTATTTCGATACCAAAAATGTTCAAATTATATGTGAAATTTAGATTGTGCCCTGTCGATATAAAGTGGACAGTTATTTTTGGGTATAATATAGTACGGCCGCGGGCTAACCATTTTGTGGATCATGGTTTCCATCATCAGAATTTGATGTGGTACAATGTACATGAAATCGGTTCCATATGAAATGTTGCTGTCTGTTTTTAGGAGACTAAATCTCGGGATATTTGTTATTCAAGTACTGCTGGCAATTGATTTAATATGGTGACTAATTATCAAAATTAATTCGGATATAACTTGAATGTTCTTGAAATGTTTTTTATTTGTTTTCTATGATGTTGTTGTCTTGAGGTTTTAAGAGACCGTTCGCACGTGATGTATAATATTTCAAATTCACAAGCGAACGATTCTTAAAAGATAGGTTCTGCATGATGCACTATATTTGTGCGGATACTAATGGTTCGATCCAATTGTTTATAATTTACCTATGTTTGTCAAGTTTCAGTCAAACCCTGGTTTTGAATCTATAATGTCTGTCAATGACGCAATTTATTATATGAAAGTAATCCTGAGTTTAAATGTTTTAAAATGAAATCTGACGGATAAAATCATATTTGTGAGGGGTCGTTCACATATTACGTAATCAATATTTTGGCAATTTTTACCCCCCCACCCCTTAGCAGCCCCCTCCGTAATCAAGACCGAACCCCCCCCCTATATTACGTAATCAAGGTTTTGATCCCCCCCCCCCCGTAATCAAGACCCAACCCCCCTCCTATATTACGTAATCAAGATTAGACACCCCCCCCCCCCCCCCCCCCATTTTTGAGTTAAATTTTGATGTAGAGATACAAGAAATACACATTATTCATTGTATTGTTGTCTGAGACTTGAGAAGATTTTTTTAATATAATGATTAAATAATTACCGAAAATTGTCCAATTGGTATTTCGAAAATCGGTAAAAAATTAAAAATTTGATTACGTAATCAACGACCAAACCCCCCCCCCCCCCCGTAATCAACCGTAAGCATTTGAAAACCCCCCCCCCCTCGGCTGATTACGTAATATGTGAACGACCCCTGATTTGGGGAGCTTTTCTAGACAACTTTTCTTGAATTGCACATTATTCAATGATGGTCATTTTTGGCTCCTCAAAATAACGGCGGCACTTTTTCTCTTAGGCCCTTCAGAGTCTCGTCAGGATCCAGTCTTAACCTAAAATTTGACATACCCCACAATTGCTAGATTGTGATATACAAACTGTTCCACTGGCCTTAACTTGCCCATTTTTCAAGGATATGCATATTGACGATACTCAGAGGCTGTAGTTAGCTGATCACACGTAATGTATAAACTCGTTATGCTTCGTATCTCGGTTATCTGCTGTAGATATATCCGTCAGATTCAAGCACCTGTTGACATCCTCTGAAACCGTTGAGCGAGGAACTTGGAGAAGGTAGGCATGACTGTTGATAGAATGCGATACTACTACTACCTTCTATCACCCAATAATACCTTAGCAAGGTTCCCGACCCTTATGTGATCTATAAATCGATCAGAGAGATAATGTTCACCTCTTAATTTATAGCTTGTATATACAGAGTTGTCATATGAACTCTACCCCAGATCTAGCCCATTTCTAGGTCAATTATATTCAATCCATGGATCACATCACTAATTGTACGTCACTGATTGGTGACATGATCTGACCCCTCTTTGGGGGCCGGATCAGTTTCCGGTCCCAAAGTCTCCCAGTGATCTGAGAAACTACAACTCTCTGCATTTTTTCAGGACAAACGTAATTCGAATGGCCAAACAAAATTGAATAAAATTTGGCTCGATCCGACTATTCAAAATATCAAATAAATGCGAAAATGAAAAAAATTAGCACGAATATTTTTCGATTTGACAAATTCCTCGAACCAGTGGTGGTAGTATATCAGAAAGAATTATTTCAATTGGACACTCAGTGGACAGTGACTGAGCTATTAAGGCCAACATTTGCACACTGACATTTGCCCACCCCCCCCCCCCCTGTTATACTTGTCATGACTATCGTTGGTCAAAGGGCTCTTGATATGTTTAGCGATGTAAAGATTTTTACTTTTGTGATACATTTTTTTTTATTATTTCAAAATTCAAATAAACTTTACATCAATGTATTACAGTTATATTCAATAGAAAAGACCACAATATCTCCTGTGAGGCAAAAACATGGAAAAAGAGAGCTAGAAAAATATTCATGAGACTCAACACTACCAGACTGCAGCTGGAGTGAGAAACATTATGTAAACATCAAAGTAAAATTTATTTCGGCTTTTTTGAATCGGGATATTGCATAACATTTTTGTTGACAAAGTATCTCTGTATAAATACCCTTTATCTTCCTTAATCCCGTATTATAGAAGTTTGTTTCGCTCAACGATATCTTTAAGATTTATCCAGCTATAAATCCAACCGATAAATTAAATTTTTGCGATTTTTATACAATAAAACAAATTTGTTGACATGATAATTGATTTATATGCACTAACGATCTATTAATAATGTATAATAAAATCAAACCGGTCTCCTCTCCAATCTCCATACACCAACTACCAAAGCTAAACTAACAAGCCCGCGACACGATAACATTGAAAATTGCATCAGCAAAACTGCAAATTGAATAGATTTAGTAAAACTAAATACATTATTTTTCAATCAAAAATTCATTAACGTTAAAGAATTATTTATCACTTTTGCAAAATAAAATTAACGAAAAACTTTTTAAAATCAAAAATCAAGCTCGGCTCTTAAACACAGATTAAATTAACGAAAATCTTGTAACCCGTAATAACAGCAATAAAAACTTCATAAACTGTTTCATATTTTTTAAATATTTTAGTCATCCAGATTCCATATTAATCAAGACACGTCACTATATAATTATAACACGCAATTGCCACACATAACGAGAAAAAAGGCTTGCGTAAAGTTTAAACCGGACCGAAAAGCTACCACTGAACCTATTCAAATTCGCGTTGGTATTAAATTTTACCCGTACATCAGATACAAAGGGAATAAGGTATTAACACCTAACAAGAAGATTACAAAGATAACAACAAATTCCAGCAAGTATAACATTCCGGCAGTATCCAAGTAGCCCGATCCTGCCCGCGGACAGGGTCGGGCTACTTGGATACTACCAACATTCCAGCTCGCACAAAACGTACATTTAACTAAGCTGGTGATTAACTAACTTAACCCTGCACTGCAAGTGACACTCAAAACGCACATTTCAGGATAATTTTGACTATCTACTCTCTCAAACACAACGAAAAAGATGGTGTTATTTAACTGAGAATCGTGGAAACAATCCACTATCCAGTTAGATAAATGTAGAAAAGTTTGCTATTATGACAAGAATACAAATATATGCAATAGATATAAAGGTTGGCAGTTCTGAGGTTCAGTTTTTACTCAATCAAATCTAATCGGTTAATTAATGCCTAATTTATTACTGGGATTAATAAACATACATATCTGGTAGGTCTATTGACAGATTGGTCAAGTTATCTAGGTCTATAAGCGAGTGTAAGGATTCCGTCGGAGAAACGTCGCCACTCCTGAAATACAAATTGTGAGACCGGAAGACTACGAGACACAGGCTATTGTGATTCTGAGGGCAGGGGCAACGCAAGCAGGCTCATAAATATCAAAAAATGTATATAAATTTGCAAAAATAGCCTTCAAAAAGTGCATGACACAGTTTACACAGATACATCGAAGTGTAATGTACCAGGGACAACTGTTGCAGTTACGAATTGTTTATAAACACGATTGCGCGCGCGTCCAAGAGCGAGCGAAAATTAACACGCGTACGCGCGTGCCTCTTCTGAATATGCATTTATGTCTGCTAACTTAAATGTCGCCGCCGCGTACGTTTACAGTATCATAATATTACACCGTCCGAACTCAGAACGGAAACAACTATAATTAACATGGCAAACAGCTCTAAAATCGCAATTCGAGAAAAATTTTGGGAGGGGATTGTTACATACATGTTGAATAAACATTTTACCGTTGGTCAATCGGAAATCCGATGTTTTGAACGGATTCACTCCGTACAATTTACAATTAGGCATATTTTAGTTGAAACCACGTTTGATTTATACCAAGGAAACATTAACGCGTAAAAACTTACTTGAAAGAGCTGAAAATCTGCTGTTTCAAAGCCGTTATGTGGGACATCTTCTCAGCCGTCCGGGCCACAGAATCTTCGTAAGATTCCTGAGAGAGTAACCTTTCTTTGGAAGAGTTGTTGGTGGCTAGCGCCATTTGCTGTCTGTGCTGAAGGGCTTGTTTCAGAGTGTCAAACGTTATCTCCTCTTGCAAGCTTATCTGAAAATGAGCTTCAAATAGTACAAGTGCTTCAACCACAATTTGTTGAGTGTGATTCGACAGAGAAAAAAAGAGAACTGTAAGTTTAAGAATACACTTGATCGAGTGAAGGAGGCGCAAGTGTTTTGGCGTGTGGCCGCAAGAAATTTACTTGATTGGTTAAACTCTACTTGCCTGGATGATAACATTAGAGAGTAAATATTTTTGGAACGGGTGGAAATTACCTGTACATCCGACACCCTGGCATCCAGCAAGCTGACTCGAAGTGATTTCACCGATTCTGGTGTCCTTGGTATTGCTGCTCCTGAAGTTAAACATCGGGTTATCTTTAAAATATATTACCAAGAGTGATTATTACAGCCATAACAATGGATTCAGTACAGGAAAATTCATCATCCAAGGTCATCATACAGCAAGAATGTGAATTCCTAACATATAATACGCGTTACAAAGAAACAGACCCAAGATCAACCCAAAGAAAATGTAGCAAGAATGATGCAAAGCTTTTTCGCAGTTTAGCATCTAAACTCTAAGGCAAATATTTCACCCAGAAATGGGACATTTTTTCCAGACATTTAGGATAAATTAATACGGTTATAAACATTTTCCCACATAATTCATTCTACGTTGATAAAGTTTGAATAGCTTTTTAGTTGATATGTAAGTTTAACCAGCAAGCAATTTGGCCGCCCAGCTATTACAATATTTCTTACCGTCCATAGAATTCTCACTGCTCTCTAGAGGGTTCGTTACTTAATTAAATAGTTTAATAATTTAATAGTTTAACGTTGAAAACTGATCATCGATGATTAGTTAAGCTATGTCATATATTAATAAAAAACAAATAATTCTCCAATTTTAATTTTTTCCATTTTCCAAAAATAATGAGGAGTTATTAAGTATTTTGTGCTACTTTTTTACATTGATTTTGTATCCATAATAAAATATATTTGAAGTAAACATTGGCCAGTAAGCAAAGCTGGTCCCCAATAAAAAAGAAAATAAACTTACTTTTGTAGTGATAAGGATCAGATAGCCTGTCCACGTTCATGCCCTGTTGGTTTAGACATTCAGCCACGACGGTAGCATCAAACATAAAAGAGGAAACATTTTCTTCCGCAGTTTCATTATCCAGCTCACTGATTGAGAGGTTACAGTTATATTTTATTTAAAAAATTTAAGGTTTTGAAGATAAAGTCTGCACTCTGTCTACAAAATTGCAAAAATATGGGCTCGGTTTTTTTGTCTATAAAAAATTTGATAGAAAAAATGAATCGAATAATCAGATTATTCGATAGAGCGTATGTAATTATTTACAAAACTGAAGTATACCTGTCTTTGTCGATTGTAGAGAAAGCAACCTGAGGAAGTAAATACGGCTTATCACTCTGCCTCTTTCGTATTATATTCGTTATGTGCTGATCTAAAGCTTCGTTTCTTGAATACCTACAGGATTATAACGTCGTAAAAGTAAGGTGTAAGCGATGAAAGTGAAAGTGAAAGTGAGAGTTAAACGTATTATGTTGACAACTGACGGAAGGTCACGTGACACGTTACCCTCCGATCCCCATCAAAACCCAACTCCACTGTGAGGTCAACTTTATCAAAAAACACGTTACCGTGAGGCGAAGACGAGGAAAGCAGCGACCAGCCCATGCAAGATGTTGACGTTATTTCTGGAGCTAGAGCAGGCTTCATCCTGTAGACCAAATGCCATGTGTATCAGCTCTATCAGCACCTGAGAAACATGGCTATAATTATCTGAGAAACATGGGTATTAACTCTATCAGCACCTGAGAAACATGGCTATAATTATCTGAGAAACATGTGTATTAACTCTGTCAGCACCTGAGAAACATGGCTATAATTATCTGAGAAACATGGGTATCAGCTCTATCAGCACCTGAGAAACATGGCTATAATTATCTGAGAAACATGTGTATCAGCTCTATCAGCACCTGCTATCAGCAACCTGAGAAACATGGCTATAATTATCTGAGAAACATGGGTATCAGCTCTATCAGCACCTGAGAAACATGGCTATAATTATCTGAGAAACATGTGTATCAGCTCTATCAGCACCTGAGAAACATGGCTATAATTATCTGAGAAACATGGGTATCAGCTCTATCAGCACCTGAGAAACATGGCTATAATTATCTGAGAAACATGTGTATCAGCTCTATCAGCACCTGAGAAACATGGCTATAATTATCTGAGAAACATGGGTATTAACTCTATCAGCACCTGAGAAACATGGCTATAATTATCTGAGAAACATGGGTATCAGCTCTATCAGCACCTGAGAAACATGGCTATAATTATCTGAGAAACATGGGTATCAGCTCTATCAGCACCTGAGAAACATGGCTATAATTATCTGAGAAACATGGGTATCAGCTCTATCAGCACCTGAGAAACACGGCTATAATTATCTGAGAAACATGGGTATTAACTCTGTCAGCATCTGAGAAACATGGCTATAATTATCTGAGAAACATGTGTATCAGCTCTATCAGCACCTGAGAAACATGGCTATAATTATCTGAGAAACATGGCTATAATTATCTGAGAAACATGGCTATAATTATCTGAGAAACATGTGTATCAGCTCTATCAGCTCCATGAGATAAAGGCATGACGTTTTGAGTTCGTAAATTACACATGTTTTGAATCGAAGTAAAACGACATTCAAATACACAGTGAAAGTGAAAGTTAAAAAGTGAAACTTTCACAAGACCCAACCTCATCAACAGGAACCTCAAGACACCAAAGAACTGCGGTCCTAAACGTGCACGTGTAGTTATCTAAATCATTATCTTCCTTCAGAATACTCTCGTACAGGTGGAAGTAGACTTCTGGACCGTTCCTTTTGAAAAACAGAACATCTTGTTTCTTCTGAGGTCCTGGCAAGGCATTAACTTGATATCATGTTAATTTATAGTCGTGATAAATAGGCTCGTTACACCGTCATTTTTTGTTAGAGTACAAGTTACATTTAATAAGGTTTATTAAAGTTCAAAGTAAATTATGTCACAAGAAAAATAACTGGTTATAACCAAAACTTAAAAAAAAAACTAACCAACAAATATGTTCTCCTCAGGCAGTTCACCAAGAGTAACAGTCGGCACAACCTTCTCGTGATTATTGTGCCGATCCAAAATAGAGTGAAATATCTGCTGTGTCATTGTCCGGGTCTTGGGCGAATCAGACAAAGACAGTCTCTGAAGAGGCACGAGCAGGGACAGTGGGAACAGGGTAGGTAGTCCGATACTCTTATCGTTGTTCACGTTGATGGAGGTAGTTATCTTCATAATGCATTTCAACAGCATGCTCTCAAACTGCGTTTCCTCTTCTGTATCCGTTGTTGAGGGCATGTTTTGCAGGATAAAAGTGCAGATTTCTATTTTCTGGTACGTTTGTAGACCATGTGAAAAATGTCCTACGCTCTCCACGATTGTGTCCTGAAACTCATCCTCCTCTTTAATAGTTTCCACATCCACGTTCTTGATGTTGCACGTGTCCACACTCATTTTCAGGTATTTCAAAAGTGATCCAAACATCTCAAGAATTGTAGGTCCTATACTCTCAGTTGAAGCTATGGAGACAGCAGCTGAAACCACCTCGACTATACTGCATCTTAATTTAGCGCTGGCGTCCTTGTGCTCCTCCAGATGCGCCAGCAGCTGCGCAATAGCAATGTACGCACTGGACATCTGTATGGAATGCATGATTAAACTCATGCAGTGTATAGGGAATTTGTTGGGAACCCATAACTTTTGATTGTCAATAAAGTACAGCAGTGGCATCATCAGCGACTTGATCTGCCCGTATGATGCCCGGCTAACTAAATCCTGGAGAACATGCCGTGCCAGCTGATCAGGATCAATATCGGAAGTAACGTCCGAATTTTCCCCTTCCCATGGTGACATGGACCTGGATTGGGAGGGCGATGTTACAGAAGAGGTGAAACCCTCGTGGATGTTGAACAGCAAGGCTCTCATTATCTTCTGTATGTGAACTTCCTCCCAGATATTCACCTGCAGATCGTCTGACACAGTCTTTAGAATAACACCCTGGAGACCACGCAGTCCTGCTTGGCGCACTGGCCGGATCGTGTCGTTCCTGCCGTTGCTCCAGCACATTGAGCTGAATTTTGAGACGAAGAAATCGTATCTCCGATGGTAGGAGGGCGTGTCCTCTTGAATGTTCGCAAAGTGGACAAAGCTAGTAGAACCCAAAACTTGCAGACTCGCCTCGGGGGACTCTAGAAGCTTCTGGACCATTCTCAAGAACGATTCCACGAACAAGTTTATAGAGGCTGAGCGGCAGGCCTGCAGTAGCTGCTCCATCGCCTTCATTGCTATCTTAGCAAAATCATACCTCCTGTGATCCACATAGTACTTCAAATACTCAGCCAAATAGTTCCCTATTCTGTCTAATTTCCTAGGATTAGTGAGTGCGTAGTAAGTAAGCTTCTGCATCTCACCCTTAACAAGACCATCTTGGGGATCCACTGGGAAGATGTTGTCCACATGTCGTTTGTAACGTGGTCTACACTTGACACAACACCAAGCACAGACCATCCTTGTGGGGGTGGAGCTTACATTTTAGGATGTGCTTACTGTGGAGAGAGGGGCTTTAGTGGGTTGGAAGTTAATATTTGGGTTGAAAGTTAAAACTTGTGAATTTGGGATCGAGATGATTCATTACTATACTGTTGTAAGTTTACACACAATATTCAGAAGCTCATTAGTTAAGTAACAAAGTAGTAATTGTTTAATGTTATTTTTATTTTAACGACACCAAGTTTACATGTGAATAATCAAGTAAATTATGTACAACACAATGTAATATATAATATAAAATAATTAGAATAAACTTTCTACAATCAGGATTAAGGCACGGTCGATAATTTTTGATAACAAAACTTAAGAGAACTTATAAAAATAATTCAACATAACAAGATAACTTAAATTTACAAATGTATTGAAACAATAAATAATCTAAAATCAGCAAAACACCCGCATACAAAAATGTTTCAAGTGAGGACAGCAGTACCGGTAGGGATAGGAATGTTGGGAGTCTCCACCCCGGATAGGCCACTTAGAATCTCATCTAGCTCGCTCAACTCTGGTGGTGCACGCAATGGTAGAGGTGCGCCCGCCCTCCACTTCATAGCGCGTAAATCTAACACATTCACATCTCGGGACCACACTTCGTCTCCATAAGGGTCAAAACTAGTTGAGCCCCCGATCATGTATACTTCATTGTCAAGGTATGCCGTCCTAAAATCGAAATATTTCCCAGGGAGAACTAAAGGATTGCTCCACTTCCCCTCCCGCGGATCGTAACACTCCCACGTGTAATCATAACATAGTTCCTCCGGACTGAGATTAAAACCCCCGAGTATGAAGAAGCGATCAGGAGAGGTACACACGGACAATTTAGACCTGTTGTTCCAGGGGTTGGGTATTTTAACCCACTCGTTAGTCTCAGGGTCCCAACACTCTGAAAACGAACAAGGGTTCAAATCTTCTCCTTTTGTCTTTCCTCCAGCAACATAAACCCGATCCTGGAGTGCAGCCGCGCCGTGGTGGCGCCGCGCGCACAACATATCGTTCATATACTCCCACTGCCCTCCATCCTCAGTGGAAAGCAACAGAGTGGGAATGCAATATGCACCTACAGACCGAGCTAAATTCAGTCCTCCACACGAAAATAATCTACCACGGACAGACCCACAAGAATTGAACATAACCGGGAAAGGCAGATTCCCGCACTCTTCCCACGTCTGAGATAGCCTATCAAAAGACACAGTCCCATCATACACCTCGTCTTTGTGGGATATATTACCAAACTCCCACTGCCGGTTCCCTAAAAGATACACAGAATAGCCCTGCGTGGCCATGGCGGTGTCCTGTGCCCACGACCTCGTTACAGTCTCCATGGGCTGCTCCCAGTGCTCATGATCTTTGAATACACAAGAACGTTGCAGTTATTGCTCTGTTTGTTACAGTAGGCTGCGTTGTATCTGGAGTCGTACTGTCTTGACAGGGTGTCTCTGGAGTGGGGACAGGCTACGTTTGAGAAATCAGGACGAGGGTATAAAACTTCTGGAGGGTATGTCTTGTACAAACAAAACACGCAAAATGATTTGTCCATGTAGGTCCGAGGTTTCAACCTAATCGGGGTAGTGTCACACTTGACGTTGGAAGCGAAGACTCTTCCCTCGTCTATAAGCCGGCAACACTCCGGGAGAGATCTAACAAGAGGATGTCCCTCTAGTTTATCTAGAACTTTCTCTGATACAGCGTGGAGTCTAACATCCTGTAACAGGCTCTGAAGCAGGATTACTCTGGTTGGTTTAGCGGAGACCCAGCCCAGAACTGCAGATAAAACCTGTTCCTCGTTCTTCACGTTAAACTCGTCTGATATGACCAGTTTGCGGATTATCTCGTACTTAAGGTCAGTCCAGGTATTGGTTTCGATTATGTAGTTCCAGCGGCAGAGTAGGAATTCGAGGATTGCAGTTTTGTGGTGCTGACTGACGATAGTGCTGTAGACTGTGGAGAAGTTAGCCAGTTCAACGCAGTTCTCAATGTTCAGAGTTGAGAAGATTACGTCTTCGCATTGGTCACGCAGGTTGGAAATTTGGAGGAAATCTGCCAGACAAAATACCTGAAAAGGGAATGGTGTAATTGTAAGAAAATACTTTAAATAATCCGCTATTAATGACATTCGATCAACAAAATTTGTTTCGTCGATCTCTTTTATTGAGCCATAATATCATAATATGTACGTGACAATCTCGTTTACTTAATAATCAACTTATTGAATAACTAATTTAATCAGTTAACATCAAACCTTGTTAAGGAGAGGGAGAGAGTTTACTTCAACGGATCCTGTGTACACAAACTTAATGACAGACTCAACTGTAACTCTGTCGTAGTTCTTTAGGTCTGTTTCAGTTGGGTGAGTCCTGTAGGGCTATGTTACACTTTATTTTCTACTTTTACAATACCAGTTACTGGAGTAACTAGTAAGTTATAACTAGTAACTGGTTATTGGTAACCTGTAACTAGCTTACCAATAAGTTGACCTGTACCGATCGAACGGAATGGATTTTCAGACGAAGCCGAAATTCATGCCATATATACATTAAAAAGTATTACAGTATGTAGTATTATGGCAGTACCAGTGTTTACTTGCAATACCACTGATAAAGTTAGAGAAGATAGAAAAAGCTAACCTGTCAGCTGAAGATGAGAACTGAAGGAGCGCCCTAAAATACGGCACTCTGGTGAACACGACCAAGCTGTGTGCGGGTATCTGCCCATCCCGGGTCTGTACGGTCAGATCACATAAAGTACCAGCTTGTTGCAGTTGGTAGAACTGGGTGAAGGTGCCCCGCCAGTCGTACATGATGGGCTCGTGGAGTTTGTAGGCCATGTAGGGTGGTGGGGTGGGGTGTGTTTTATTCATTTCATACCTAGTGCTAATTAGGTAATTAGTTAATTAGTTGATTGACAGTAAGGCTTATTTTTCATTTAGTTCAAGCTCAAATAATAAGACGAGCTACGTTAGAATTGAACGATCGCGTCGGTTTTCCCTTTTTTAGTTATAAGAGAACTTATTGATGTAACGATTGCGCGATCAGTAACAACCAATCAAATTCGTTAATTACTGTCACGTGTAATTTGTAGAACATATAATATGCTCGTTCAATAAACTAGTATGTACTGTAACTCATAATGGATAACTTGACTATTTATTAATTAATTTTTATTAATTTATTGGTCAATATCAGGAGACTGAAAAGAGAGGCGACTATACTACAGCCGTGAATGACTGGCCATTCTTTATTTCGACCTTTAAATATTTACCGCGATTTTATTCTTTATTCAAAATTTTAGCGCCTAGCAGCCAGCCTATCACGCCTTAGCTATAGTGTGTAAGATATTTATATTACTTTCGATTTCTTGTATTGTTATGTTAGGATATATAAATGTGCCAGTTTAATTTCATTGACCACCAATGTTTAATGCGACAGGCAATTTGCAGTAATTAGTCAAATTTAGTTAAATTTAGTTATAAGATTAATATATATTATATGGCTATGCAATAAAACAACTTTTCATGGAAATCTTTATGTCAACAAATCAATCAATTGATGATAATGGCAGATAATCTGCTCATAATGAGCAAAAAAGTACACGTCATATTGTATAAAAGATGGTTTTGAGGTTCTGGACACAACATCATAGTATTACAGTAGCACTATAACTCTATAATAGTAGTTTACTGTTTAGTACATGCTGTATTATATAGTACTAAACGAGTATAAGAACCTATACGAACCGTTTAAGCTCTTAGTCAAGTACACTGAAACATTAAGCATTCTCGAGTTACAAATGTTGTCAAAATAGGGAAACTGAGCTAGCTTTAAATGGATCCAATATTAAGTTTTATTCAAAGAACTTCCAATTCTAGGAAAACGACGAATGAACGAGTCTAACTACATTATATTAAGGCGTAACAGTACTTGACTGACATGGAGAGGAGATAAAATCCCTAAATCCCTCAAATCTACAAATCAAGCCATAAAAAGTAAATACAAACTCTTAATCTACCGCTAAGAGCCATTAATTATGATACAGATAAGATACAAAATACACACTCTCTCACTCCACATACCAAATACTGTCCTGTACAACATGCTATACCATGTACATTATGTACCATGTACATTATGTACCATGTACATTATGTACAATGTACATTGTACAGTGTACACTTGCCAAACGTTATGTTCCGAGCAACGTGGAATTTAGCCTGGCTAACTCGTTTTTATCCAGAAGTATCTTCCTAATCCCACTTTCCTTGGCATATGGAATGGTAATCTTTCCAAACATTCTAGAACTTTCCTTTTCCTTGAGCACTCTAGCGAACTCCGGTGTGACGAATTCTCCGTTGGGAGTCTGTATGAATCCACCGGCGCCATAATATCTGCATTTGATTTGATTAGCTAATTGGCTCATAAAGAATGCTCGTATCATGGCTAAAAAGAACAACAGCGGAAAAAAACTGAGATCATAATGGATATGGCAAGACTAATGATGATAAATAATATCTTTAGATCATACTGTATATAGTATAGACTAACCTTCCCATCTCTTTCTGAGCTTGAAGTTTCAGCCTGAGGTATTGATTGTGTAGGCAAACTTGACTGCTTTTCTGTTCGGCTAGAACATCTGCTGGCAGCTGTGAATAACAGTCAGATTAGATATGGAATAAACAGGGCTGACAAAAGGTTAGACGTGGGAATGATCCAAGAAGGTGCAATGAATTTCATTGACACATGTTGTCTAGTCTATTGATTAATACTGGTCATTTCGTTCAAAGATATAATTTCATGGAATTATAATTTCTGGGAGCATTAATTATTTGAATTTGAAATCTGAACAATGAATAATATTATGAATAATATTACCTTTCCGTTAGTTTTCTTGGTGATATCAATAACCTTAGTATTGGCAATAATACTCAGCAACTGCTGGTGAAGCTCACTGACATTCCTCTCACAAGCAATATCAGGTGACTTTCTAGTTGGTACTGTGAGTGGTGGTAGGGCTGCTAGTTTAGTTTTCAGTGAATCTGCCATCAGCTTCACGTTCTCATCCTGGACTAGCTGGGCGTAGTTCTGAGGGGGTTTCAGATCTGTTAATTACCTGTTCATTTCCTGTTAATTACAGTAAGTAGGATATGAGAGTGAATTTTCACATTTTTTCCTTTTCACCCTTTTGAAAAAAGGCAATAGTGAAAGGTTACGAATGGACGTTTTTTGCAGAAAAACGTGGATTTTGGAGATAGCTAGTCTGTGGTCAATGAATGCGCGGCACGAGCGTATTTTAATGTACACTAGTAATGTATAGTATTTTGTAATAAGCCCAACTTGAATGTGGCACGCGTGGTCTACTGATGTTTCAATATTATTATTATAAGGTGAGCTGATTAGAGCTTATATTAATAGTTATAGTGAAATGGAAATCTAGCGTCCGCCAAAACGAAACAACGGGCGCAATTCTTGTTTGTCACTTGACTTTGTATTTAAAATGAAAAACATGATTCTCAAATTAAATAGTGATCATAAGATTCTTTTAAGTCTCGACTAGATTACAAGATACTACGATCTGTATCTTAGATATAAGATACAGCCCTTGTGATTGTCATTTGTTATAAATGACAATCACAAGGGCAGTCATCATTGATTAACCATTTCAGCTAAAAATAGCACTGAATACAAGTCTGTGAATTGACAACATTACGATATAATATCTAGTGACCACCTTAACAAAAGTTTGGCGATTTAACCTAATTATGCCATATAAGGCATGACACTTTCTAGCCGTGAAGAAAGAACATGTTTAGAGAGCATAATTATGATTGAACATGTTGGAGTCTTGCCAAGAAAAGGGGGATAATAAAGCGGCAGAAAAACATTGACATCATATCTTTATGTACATTGATACACTGATTGTAATTTGACTAGACTGCATTATTTTATATAGAACACTGTATTCCAAGTTCTAGTGATTGGATAACGATCGTATGATAAAATTCCAAGGATTTAAAAATGAAACATATCAATCTTATACTACTATTCTAGTATGTAATTCAAGAAAACACATACCTGTAATTACGAACAACATTCCAAGAAATTCAATTAAACCAAAAACACGTACCTGAAGCGACTCTAATTTACTGAGAGTAGCTGGGGAATCCTCTACAATAACCTTCACAGACCCAGGTTGACCGGACGCCTGTTCTGCAAGTATTGACTCTGTGAGGTGCGCACGTGGTGCACGCTTGCTCGCTTGTTCCAACTTTGTTTTCAGGGTTGTTTTTTCTGATTCTAGCGCTTCAATGTCTTCTTGGAGATGGTCCATTGTCTCTTCGAACTGGAGGTAATATGTCTTTTTATTTTGTCTGTTTATCGAGCTTGAGTAGCATTTTCAAACTAACATTAATTTTGAGCATTTTAAACATTATACGGTTGCATCTCATTTTTCTAAAATCGAACCTCGATTTACCTCAAACACAAGACTATTCTCTGATGTGATTTTAAGTGTGGACTAAATCTATTAATAATAAGAAAAGTCGAACCTGTCTATCCTTATCAGAAATAGTTTTCTTAGCCTCCGACAGTTCTGACTTAAGAGTATCAAGTTTACCGTCACCGTCCCTTCTGGCGTTCTCTAGTCGTTTCTCCAGCATATCAGCTCGAACTGCTTGTTGGGATACTTCCTCTCCTTTTATCTTTACCTGGAGATAATGGGGCGTGAGTTATTGCTTCTATAGATCCACCATACGTCACTTTACTTGAAAGCAGGGGTGATTAAAATAAAAGGAGAGCTAGAGAGTGGTTATTATTATTAATACAAACCCATGACATAAATTATCTAATAAACAAATTTATATAGTATAATGTAACATAATAATATGTACGTATATTTTAATTAATTAATCTTGTCATGTGTATCCAGGAGGCATGATCACAAGACTCAAGCAACGTACCATTTTCTTCAGTTCAAAGTTCTCATTCGTCTTGTACTCTAGCTGAATCTTAAGCTGATCTCCAAGAGAGAACTGCTCCTTGAATTGCTTTGCTCGAGCATCGTAAGGTGGCTCGGACTTCGTATCGGCATCTCCCAACTGGTCGTAATCTCCATCTTGGATATTTTTAGCCATCTGTTGGAGAGAGGGCAGGAGGGAGCCAGTGTGAGCTTTGATCCGGTCAAGTCCGGTTCCGGAGGTTCCAACCGGATTACAACCCTTTTTGATGATGTCTTCTATGTCGGGGACAGTTATTATGTCGTCTTCAGCTACTCCTGCAATGAAAAATATCATGAACTTTATAATGTTCGTCAACATAGTGCCTCAATAAATTCTAAACCGATAACTAAAATCTTCAATTGATCGCACACATTTAATAATAGTAAGAGATAATTGTACTAAGAGATAACTTACCAGCGATATACGAGGACAAATTAACAGCAGTTGTGTTGAGCGCGGCGAAAGTGTCCGAGAGTTCGGACATGGTAGTGGTCAGAACCTCGTCTATCTCAGCAGGGAAGGAGAAGGGTTTTCCTGTGGAAAGTCGAAATTAGTTAATTTTAGTGGGAAGTCGGAATCGAACTGCAAAATCACTACGTACCGATAAATCTTATTCAGATTTAAAGTATTCGATTAATCCGCCCTATATCATAGATTTATTCACACCGCGCACCATCAACAGGGACAAAGTTCTTGATACGTCGCATAGTTTTAAGGAAATCATTGCAGTGTTGTTTTGTCCCGTTCATCTTCTCGATCTGAACGGAACCCTCCTGAACCCGAGATAGCGAGGTTGTTATCTTGTTAGCACAGGCGATAAGGCCCTCACAGGTGTGCTTCATTATCATGAGGTAGTCCGACAGGGCCTCTCTGCAGGACGGCTGAAAAACAGAAATTATTACTAAAATATTATATAAACTTGTTATCAAACCAAACACACATCTCTCAAAACAAAGCATTAGTATTATTAAAATTATAAATCTGTAATTTAAAGAAGATCACGTGATCTGACACTACCTTGATATCGGGGAAGTGAGTGTTGCTGAGAGCCAGGAACTGAGCGGCCGACTGTTTAACAGGATCCACAGTTACACTCTCGTCCAGGGAGCTCTTCTCTAGGTGGGTCCGGAACACTGACAACATGGACATGTGCGGTCCCAGATCACTTGCCAGTCTTCCTAGCCTGGAGAATGTGGAACAGTGGTAAAGAGTGGTAAAGAGTGGTAAAGATTGGCAAAAAGTCAAAAAGTGGTAGAAAGTGGTAAAGAGTGGTAAAGAGTAGTAAAGAGTGGTAAAGAGTGGTAAAGAGTGCTATGAAGTAGTAAAGTGTGGTAAAGAGTGGTAAAGAGTGGTAAAGAGTGGTAAAGAGTGGTAAAGAGTGGTAAAGAGTGGTAAAGAGTGGTAAAGAGTGGTAAAGAGTGGTAAAGAGTGGTAAAGAGTGGTAAAGAGTGGTAAAGAGTGCTATGAAGTAGTAAAGTGTGGTAAAGAGTGGTAAAGAGTGGTAAAGAGTGGTAAAGAGTGGTAAAGAGTGGTAAAGAGTGGTAAAGAGTGGAAAAGTGAACAGGTTTCAAATTTTGGTCATCTCCTGGCTCTCCTCAATTAGAAATTAGAATATGTACTTATAAAAGCTTTTAATTGCACCACTATGATAAGATAGGGAACTAATAAGACCAGACAATAAATTGAGATCCTGGAGAGTCTCATGAGACTGATAAACAGCGAACCTCTCCAGGACCTCATATTTCTTCAGACAATAAATTGTTAGACCTGTATCTTTAGGAAAAGTAGACTGGCCTGCCTTCCTACTTTCCTAACAGTTTAATCAAGTAGGAAACAACAGTTTAAAACCAAATATGTCTGATGTTGTTAAATTTATACAATATGTTTGACAGCCAGGAAGGATCTTATCCCACTTATAAGTTTAGCCTTATTTAGAGGACCAGTGTCCAGTAAGGATTTATGTTTCAGATTAGATAAATTGCTCTTTTGAATAAAACAATGAGTTTTTATCCGGTACAGTTAAACTATGCACGTCGAACTTGAATTTATATTATGCAATAATATGATATTATGCAATAATATGATATTATGCAATATATGCATGAAACGCACTCTGAACGTAAAGTTACCTCAAAAATGTGTCAGGATCACATTGTTTGATACATCTCTCGAAGGTAGTAACTGCGACTCTAAAGTACGCCATCTCAATAACAATCCCGGCAGCATACACAGCCTTGTCACACTGGAGCGAGGTTAAGGAGGCACCAGAGAGGAGGTCTGTTAGTTTGAGGTGTTTTGAGGTTACTCGGCCGATAACCTCACTTGTTACGCCGAGTTTGTTTAGTAGTAGGATCTGGATGGAGAGGGTTGGGATTAGAGGAAGTGGGATTAGAGGAAGTTGAAGATTTCATGACCAAAAAGGTTGGCACGTCAGTAAAAATGTATAAAAATACATAAAATATAAAAATGTAGAAAATTTACCAATTTGATAGCCTCGTAGTCACTGCCAGGCTGGGTGAATCTCTCCGGGAAGAATAACTTGAGCAGTCTGACCTCCTCCTCATTTGACACGATATCTATCTCAGCGAAATCAACATCGTACGACTCCTGGTGAGTGGTCGACTTGCTCTGTTCCAGCAGCTGGAGGATTTTATAGCAATTAAGTGAGGTGTGAGTAAATGTTTGGTGAATAATTTATCTGGATAGTTTCTGGCTGGAGAAATTTAATACATTTTAACTTCTGATTCGTCAATGCTGCAAGCTGATTGGTGATAAATTCCAACATCTTAGTGGGTGGTCAAATCGCTCTGTCCCAATACAACAGCTTGAGGGTAAATATATTGTAAGAATATTCTGTACTTTGTAACTTAAAATACAGATTTGTAATGTATAAACCTGCCTGAACAATGAACATTGTAATATTATACCGAAGTTCAACTCGATACAAATCATATGACATACCCTCAGATCAGCTCTGGTCTATTTTTAACCTGACCAAACACTGCCGGGTTTGTTTATGAATAATAATCCGTACAAAATCTAAGAAAAACTTACTAAATGACTCGATGAATAAACTACAAAATTGAAAAAGCAACCATACCACAATAGTTTAATAATAACACGTGATATGTAGGCGTTCATGAATCCAGATAGTTTTCAAAGATAACATTACCTGTGCAACACCTAATAAAAAAAGATAATAATAAATTATAGTTTTGACTCCAGATAGTTTTGAAAGATAACAATTACCTGTGCAACACCTAATAAAAAAAGATAATAAATTACCTGTGCAACACCTAATAAAAAAAGATAATAATAAATTACAGTTTTGACTCCAGATAGTTTTGAAAGATGACATTACCTGTGCCCGCATTTGAGCAAGTTGATGAAGTTTCTCGTCATCTACTCCCTCCGTCACTTCCTTATCTTGGGTCATTTGAGTCTGGGTATCCTTCAGTTGGGCCTGCAGGAATTATGGTTTGTTAGTTTTAATCAATTATAATTGTTCTCGACATTCCTATAAAGTTGTCAATATGGTTGTCAAAATAGTTGTCAAAATGGTTGTAAAATGTCAATATGGTTTTAAATATCCTTATAGTTTTCAATAAAATCATATCATACCAATGGACTAGGCTGCGCTTGACTGATAATGTGTTAAATGCACTATTATGATCGATTACTATCTGACTATCATAACAATATCGGTCATGTAATACAAGTAAAGTGATTAGTTAATGAGATAATCACATGTAATTGACTCCAGTGGAGTAACGTTACTTTGTGCCGCCCCCCTGCTAATTGAAATTTGCCGCCCCTATCCGGAGCCGGCAAATTTCCTGCGAATGAGTTGGTAAAGATCTACCACAAGGACTTGCAGCCATCATTGGCAGACGAGTTAATTGACCTGAAGGAAGATTACGGGAGTGACCTAAGGACCGAAGATGTGACAAGTCCTCTCCAGTTGGTCAACTTTATCTTCGAGAGAGACCTTCCGCTGTTGTGTCCGCAGTTGGTAGCAGCCTTGATGCTTTTCATAGCTATACCAGTCACTGTTGCATCGGCGGAACGGTCCTTCTCGAAGTTAAAGTTAATAAAAACTTATCTAAGGTCGACTATGTCACAATCTAGACTTAAGGATTTAGCTCTCATCTCAATTGAGAACAGTGAGGTTGACAAACTTGATCGCTCGAAGCTGGTACAGAAATTTGCCAGTGCAAAAGCAGGGCGCATCAAGCGTTTCCACTGAACATTTATTTATTTTTTTGTATTTTGTAAATTGTTGTAATTGGGTTGACTTGATCTGTGATCATGATGTTTATTTTACTTAACATAATTTATAAGTGTATCTTGAAACGGTTGTTTCTATTTGTCCTACTACGATAACTAACATGGCCAGAGCCCAGGAGCCGGATTTAAAATTATTGAAAAGTCACAAACTGCAAACCTCGAAGGTTAGAGTTCACACAATTACCGTCGTATAAACTTTAGTCACACCGCGCATCATTAGAAATTGGCCTCCGCGCTAAAGTATTAACAATGAAAGTGTAGTATCGTTATCACTTTTTGCGCAACTTTCAGCGCGTGGTTAAGTTGCGCTATAAATTCGTGTAGAATTTTGGAGTAGTAGACACGTTCAACTAATTTCTTTACTTTTTTTACTTCGGTATGAAGAGTCACGGGTCATCACCGGCTACAGGGGGCGGCAATATTGTGTAATGGGGCGGAAAAATGCCGCCCCCTAAGGTGCCGCCCCCCTGCTAGCAGGGTTAGCAGGGGCGGTCGTTACGCCACTGATTGACTGACCTGTAACTGATTAACGTATGCTCTGAACTGCATGATGACATTTTGGAGGTCGTTATTCTGGGCTGACTGATCTTCCACCTTCATGTTCAGTTGATAGTGGGTGTTTCTGGATATCTCTAGCTCCTGTTAACATTAAACTGTTCGAATACTGGAACTTTAGGATACGATATTATATGATTTCCACACAATATAATGTCCATCGCCCATTTACCGAAAAAAAGGAGTAAAATGGCCAATACGTCAAATAATGAATCATATAAGTATAATTTAACCTATAACCTGTTCTAAAAACCCACCTCTCTAAGCTCAGCCTCAGTCACCATCCTCTCCTCCTCCAGTTCCTCATTTAGGTCTCTCAGTGCCTCTAAATCAGCCAGATCATCTGTCAGGTTCTTCAGTCTCTCCTCTAGATCCAGATTTGTTTCTGTTAACTTCTCCACCATAGTCTCAGCCCCGATACAACACTCAACCTGTTAGGAAGTTGTATTATGATGTTTTTAGTACTTTACTAAGTACTAAAAGTGTGTATTATCACCTTAATAACACCAGAATGTGTGTGTGTATGTGTGTCTGTCTGTCTGTCTGTCCGTGTGTAATTTCCGGTCGGTTATACAAAAAAAACGGTAAGAGTTACGGGACTGATTTTTTCGGTATAGTGTCGACAAAACTCTGATGAAGCCCATAGGAAACTTTTTTTTAAATCGGCCGATGGTAAGTGGTTTAATTGATGGTTTTGTACCACAAATGTTACATAAAATTGCGTGAGCAGAACGGCAAGAGTTACGGGGCTTGCTCTCTCTCATTACTGTGTAATATGTTATAGCTGCATTTAAGTAGCGTCATAATTGGATTGGCCCGGAAGATTCGCTGTAATGTTATACCTTAAGCTTATTAGAGGAGGGGGGACTGTTAGTGTTTGGGGTCTGTTTGGACTGCAGAGAGAGAGAGAGAGAGAGTTCATACGACAATGTTATGCGTGTTTTCAAATATAATATGCGGGTGTGGTGCGGAGTTAACAAGGGTTAATTTCTATAACGATTTAAATAAAAATAGAAAGCGGTTCAAGACGGGAGTGATGAGGTGTAATACTCGGTGTTCAGACCTTATGATCATGGAGTGTGGTGCCTCATGGCTAATAATGACTTAATTATCCACAAGAAATAACTGATTATGAGATTATTGTTTAAGAAACTATTGGGTCACCTAATGCGGGTTTTGACTCAGCGGGTAATTACTCCTACCCTTTTTAACTGCGGCAGTGAAATCCCGGCCGTAGGCCGGGTTACACTAGTATAATATATAAAAGCAAAACTTATTATATATACTTTTATAGTGAATTTAAAAATCTGATTAGACTGATTTAGGACAACTTGTTGTTTTTTGTTGTTTGTTTTGTTGTTGCAACTGCTTCATGAATATTGAACTGTTATTCTAATTAATTAGCGTTAATTAGCATCATAAATTACAGGCTTTTGATGATATCTCCTAAAACATATAACTTCAATTCCCCCCTCCCATTTTGAAAAGATAAAATACCTGTTCAGTAAGTTCTCCGACCATAATCTCGTGCTCTTCCAGCTCCTCTTCGAGGTTATCCTTCAGTTTAGTCAGTTCAGTCACCTGACTCTCTTCCTTTGTCAGCTTTGAACTCAGAGACTCTATCTCTTTTCTATCTTGTGTGTTTAACTCTTTCAGCCTGGTGGTAAAACAATTAAATTCACAACATTTAACAGAGTATCAGTTACAATGGTAAAGTGTACCAGAATCATCAGACTGCCAAAAATTGGAATATTATCCTGAAAAACTTAAAGTAGAATCAGGGATAATACGGCTAGATAATATCTTGACGAATACCTAAAATCAAAATACCAATACATATCTTAATCTTAAAATATCAGGGTACAATAATTAGCGACTAATTATTAATTACTTGATAACAGCAGCCTTGAGTTGGTTGGTCTGCATCTCCAACTGTTTAATCCTAACATTATCCACACTTCCTCCTCCACTACCACTACTTATCTCCTCCTTCATCAGGTCCAACTCTTGTTTAATTTCGTCGTGTTTTTCTGTCATTCGCTCAAGTTCTGATAATGGGCATTGTAACGTCAGGGGACACTACATAACTTGAGGGGCAAATTTCAAGACGGGATGTTTTTATGAGGGCCAAGACGGTATTTCAAGAAGGAGAATTCATATTTACAACTACTTGCACCAATCATTATCTACCTAATTCAGCACATTCCTTCATCTCCTCCGCCATCTCCTTGTCCAGTGCCATTTCCTCTACCCTATCCCTCAGTTCCTCCAGCTCTGCTTCAGCTCTAGTGCGCGCCTCTCCACTCTCCTTCGCTTCTTTCTTCGCTGTCTTCAACTGCTCGTGTAGGTCACCCTGAGGTAAGGTTTTATATTGCATTTGAAGAGTATCTGGTTTTGTATTATCACCAAGTAATGTTTATATTTTCTCCAGAAGGAGCATTACAATCTTTTAATCGCGACAATTTACGTTCAATCGAGGCCAGATGATAAAGGCCCCGTTCAATCTTGTATCCATCACTCTTATACCCTAAAATTATGAAGAACTCGATGAATATAATAGTGAAATTCTCAAGAACCCAACGGGAAGTAACCTCATAGCAATAATAGTTAACTTACACAAAGTCTACAAGTCTTCTCAGGGACACTCATTTGTAGAAATTAATCAAGAGAGTGTGCCTTTTGGCTATTTTCACTCTTGTGTGATAAACATGTTACAAAAACAGACCCGGGTATTATCATGTGACACACCTCAAATCTTACTCTGAGTAACTCCGACAGTTTTAAATTTTAACATTACTTCATTATCAGAGTCGGAGATATCCATTAGAGATACCATGATATATCCAAAGATACCATGTAAGTAGGACACAAATATTGCGATAGTTCACTAAGGCACTACTATACATTAACACTTGCCAGGCTGGTATTAACACTTAATTTACTAGATTCTAAAATGACGTTCCATAATAAATAATCAAAGCTGCAAGCTGGTTAAGGTCCAAGTCACGTGACTGAAATATATCCACCTTAAACAACACGCCAACACCTATAATATATAATCTAAAGCTGGGTAAACAGTAACTACATCGCAAGATCGCAGTAGTCAAACACACATAATATTATTTAATCATTTAAGGCAACTCTCCACGAACAGGCATTCTATGATGTAGAGATGTAGCTAGAGATTTCTGAATTGAGACAACTAATTTTCCTTAATGAGACATTTAGTGACCTTCTGGCTAACACCTGGTGTAAGATGGATCTTCCAACGATTAATTATTTTACGTAATTACACGATTAGTTGATTAATTAATTAGCTAAGTTCAGGGTTTTTTCCTTCACTTTATGATAATATGTTTATGAACGTTTTTCCGTGAGCTTTTGCTGGAGGGTGAAAGCAAACCGGCAAACGATTCTTCTTTGCATTGGTAATTTAGTTTTACATACATTACATACCTTTAATGCTTTAAGTAACATATGAATTCGTGTAAACTGCATAATATGAGATAAGAGCACACATAATCAATAATCATATAATCATGATAATTATACTCAATGGTAATTAGGGAAACTACTAATCAGTGCTATAACACTCCATATTGTACAGCATCAATCACAGGCTCCAGGGTGCCATAATGTACCCCAAATCGATAGATCTAGCTGACACAGGGCACTGTCAGGTATTTACCCACCCAGCAGCACAGGGCAGGTATTTATCCAGCCCTACAGATCTCATATCTCAGGTTGGGCTGGTGGCAGGTGGCTATTGTCATAGTGAACACGGTTGTTTGCGGTGTAGGGTTACTCGAGTTTTAATCGGCTCAACTGTTTCTTAAGTTAGCGTCCCACACAAAAATGAAAAGTGTTCAACACAGTTAGAAATCTGTTGGTACAGCTGAGGATGAAATTGGTGATCGATATGTTGCGTATCGTCACGTCTGTGGCTTTTCAAAAATTAAAACAATTTGTTTTATTGAGTTTAGTAGGAGCAATGTGTTTTATTTGTACCTGAGCTGAGGTCCACTGTGCTTTGTAGTCAGTGAATTGTGAGATCTGAACTTTGTACTTTTCCATTTCCTTTATCTTAGCTTTGTCATCTACTCGCTTGGCAGTCAGGAATTGTACCTTAAATTTATAGAATTCATTGAAGTGTAATCGCTTAAATAAAGATGAGTTTTAATATGAAACTTCAGTAACACTTAATAACGCAACCTACTAGCAGAAAACAAGTTATGGGTTTTATAATTGTCGCCCATCTCTAAAACCACAGTTAGGAATTTAATTCACCTTAAGACAATAAACTAAGAATGTTATCAGCAGAACAAGTATTCTGCACTCAAATTTAATATATTATATAAAACTTCAGCACTGTTTTGACTGGGTCTTTAAAAGAACACCCCCTATTAGTATTACCTTTTCCTCCATGTCCTTAAGAGAATCTTGCAAATTAGCGATCTCCGCGTCTTTTTTCTTCAGAGATACATCATCATTCTTCTTACCGGTATCAGTAGAAACTCCTCGACTGGGTGTCTCTGAGACGGGATCTTGTCAGCTTGTTTTCACAGGAAACATGTAGGTACCTAGTATCTATTAGGTACTACTAGGTACCAATCACACTATAGATCACACAATATTATCAGAGTATTAGAAATATTGTACAACTGCCAGCTTGTCAAAACAACATTTAAAATCTCGGAACTGAAGATGCAGAGTCTAAGAAAGTGCTGAATGTATGGGATTGATAGTTTCATATAGACGTGTGTAATGGTGGGAAAGTGGCCCAATTTGAACAAACTTTGAACACACTTTGAACAAACTTTGATCAAACTTTGAACAAACTTTGAACAAGCTTTGAACAAACTAAATGAACAAAGTTGCTCCGCCTCCCCACAATCACCCATATCAATAATCCATGATAATCAGCATCATGCGAATCAAGATTAAATAATCAAGAGTAACACACACACATCTCTTATGATAATTCCGCTGTATGTATCAAACCCGTTTAAAATGTGCTTAGATTATAATGTAAATGAAGAAAACGTTTAGTATAATGTAAGGAAGATTTGCATGATATGTTATTGTGTGGCGGAGTTATCCATTTTCATGGTCTACTGGTATTACTACAGTAAAATCCCGATTTACCACGGGGTTTGGGGGAAAGGAGATGGCCGCGGTAAATCGGGGTTTGCGGTAAATCGGGGTGCGGTAAATCGGGGATTTACTGTATATTGTCCTGTGTCCAAAGTGTAAGCTAGTTGTAGTTATTGTCTCCAGGTAGGGGTAAGGGGTGTTTTAAGAAATTCATTATATGAAATAGAACAGCGTATTAATAATAATGCTAAAAAAATGTAAATGTGTCAAGAAAACGGTGGATCGCATTTTGCTTCAGCGCAGCGTGAAAATACCAGCAATCAATCCCGGTCTGTATAAAAACTGTACAAAATCAAAACATAACGGCTTTAAAACGGCAGTGTGCTGTGCCTTGTTTTGCGCTCTTCAATATAGCACAACAACGGCACTGCAACCGTAAACTCAGGTTATCTTACAAGAAACAGTTTCAAAATCTATTACAACAGACTCTTTTGAAGCGATGTTTATTCTTTTTCTAAGAAAGTATCACCCCATGAAAAATCTGTTTTAATAGAATGATCTCTATCAAAAATTCTCTAATAAACGTTTCTTATGAACGCTGTTTATAAACGTTCATAAAAAAATGTTTCCTATAAAATAAACCGAGTTTACACAAGACTGCCATCAAGCCAAACTACAAACATGCCTCTCAAACAGCTCACTTCTAACGGGTGTTTTGGCGGATGATGGGGATGGACCTGTCGAACCTTGGGTTTTTTAGCTATTATTCTTTGGAAAATTCTAAGTGGAGTCTAAATTAATTCTGGGAAGAGTGAGGTTAATTGTGCACAGTATGATTCAAATTAGTAGGTTTGGTGTTAGGAGGGTGATTTAAACAGATAAGTTATGGGAAGTTTGTTTCAACGTGTGAATTTTTATTATCTTAACAATAAACTAAACTTCGCAAGGCGGTGGGAATGTTGGGAAAGGTAGTGGTGAACTGAATATTTTAAGAATAAATATAGGATTTTCTATTTGGCTGCATGTTCGGGAAGTTTTTATAAAAAAATATGGCGCACGGTAGTGGTTCCTATTCCACGATTGTATTCTTGAAATAAAGACTTGTGTATCATTTTAAGATAATGTGTTAGGAAATAACCAAATTAAATATTAGAAAGTATTGCAATATTCGATTAATAGGTATTGTAAGGGTCATCAACTCCCAAGTACCAAAATGATCCAGTACCTACATTTAAAATCAAAGAAAGAGCCATGGAAATAATTAGTTGAAGTGCTAAAGAGGAGTTAAGTGGTCGTGTTCGAGGTTATAATCTGAGCCTGAATCCTCGTTAAAAGCCTTACAAGGGTAAAGTTAATCTCAGAGATGCTAACACTATTTGCATTATCCCACTGCTTAGCTCACTTTTGTTGATCTTTAAAGAACCACTTCGGCTGCTACCGGAAGAATCTCCCGAGTATGACCGGCGATGGGAACCTGTCTTGGAGGAACCTTCTGTGGGTACCTCAAGAGAAGTAGGAGGCTGTCTGGTTGAGTCCTTGACTGGAAGAGCTGATAGTTTAGGAGCTTGTCTACTAGGTGCTATGGAGAGGAGCTCATCAAACACTCCATCATCAACTGTTTCATCAAAGACGACATCGTCTTGGGTTATAGTTGACACAGAAGTGACGCTGCTTAGATCTGTTGCTGTTGAAGTTGGCTCCGGGGTTGTCTTAGGGGTCCGTTTGGTGGGACTGGAAACTCGAGATGTTCTTGGAGTGGTTTTAAGAGTGGACCTTGGAGTTGTCTTTGATGTGGTCCTTGGAGCACTTCTGGAAGTCCGTGGTAATGTCTTTGTAGAGGATGTTCTACCAACGCTGGGGGATGATCTACCACTTGTTGTACTGGCTGGTTCACGTCGTCCCAGCTTTGGAGATCCCTTGGGGGAGTTCAAGCCCATTCCCCGTGGTAAGGTTTTTGCTTTTCTTTCTGTCCCCGGGGATGCCGGTGTCTTTCTGCCGTACGTTTTTTTCAATGTTCCAGACTTTGAATATGTCATTCTAGTAGAAGGACTAGGACTGGACTTTCCTGAAACATTCGAAAATGCTGTATAATTATATATAATTGCAGACATTTTTAAACACAGAGGTTGGTCATAGCACAATAAACACACTCCCAAGTTGTACTGTTCATTAATTTGACCTTCAAATATTTGTCAGATTTGGTGAGGTCATGTTTTCAGAGAGATTTCATCCATCGTAACTTTGATCTCTAGGTATTCACACTTACTTTCAGGGTTAGCCAACTTCTCACATATTTCATTTAGCTTAACGTAATTTAGTGTAAACTATACATGTATGATATATCTAGACATAGCGAATATTATACGTAAATAGATTAAGTAGTATACATTTTGGCTTCGAATTGAATATTTGAGATTTTCATTTAAAATATATCTTCTCGCAGAGGCTGAACCATTTAACTTTAAAACAGCAGCAGCAATGCTGCTATAATGCAAATGAGATTGCATCAACCTAAATGCAGTGCCAGCATTTAAATAGCTATTTATTATAATATGATATAATATTATAAATGTTACTATTTTTAAATATGAACTGCTTAAAGAGCCTACTCAACCACATGTCTGAGTAATATTTTGCAAATGCGGCTTTTTGATAAACAGCTGCAATGATAGGTTTTAACTTTTTGAATGCTATAAAAAGCGGGTTTTAGCGTTGATTCGTTAAGAAGCGGGGAATTATGCAGCGGTTAAGCGGGCTGGAGCCCATACCTTCGTAATAAAAATACTCCTCTCCTGTTAAAAATAAAATAGAAACTAAAAGTAAATTTACTAGGTTTGCTATGTAGATAATTTTAGATATTGATTAAGCACGTTATCAATGAGGTATAATTCGTTCGGGATTCCATTTGGAACATTGGATATTTCTAATTTGTAATTTTCATCTTTTTCCAGTCTAAATATCTGAAAGATTTTCTTCTTACCGTCAGCACTGGAAGCATTGGACACAGACGATGGCGATTTTGACAAACTGCCCGAATTTTTAGACACGTCATCAGTGGACCCCCTCAAAGAAGAACCTTTAGCAGAAGGAGCAGATAATCTCGAACTGGATCCTTTGGCACTTGTCTTGGTAGCCGTCCCCTGAGAAAATACAAGTCTGAGCTTGAGATATCAGCTCGGATTTTTTAGCTGGCAGCGGGCTGTACAAAATCAGAGGGGGTAAACAGATGATTGCTTCACTTTGTTACGCAGCACATGACAAACTTACCGTGCACAGCAGCTGCAGTAGAGTAACTCGCCTACCTGGGGGCTGGGAGTGGGGAGCAGTGCACATCTCAGCTGGGTCTAACAATGTGCTTTAAGCAAGGAATGTGTAACTTTTTAAACATTAAAATGTGTTTCAACTGGATACCCAATACATTTACAATAGCTTTGCGGTGTTGTGTTATGTTGATAAGTTGATATTATATGATAGTGGGGTTGACAATTATGATTGAGAAAAGTTGGTGATGCAGTGAACGGGTGAGTTAAAGGCTGAGGGAAGTGTGTAGCTTGGAATTGGTTTAGAACATAGCAGCACGGTTTGTGCGACATTTCATACGTTGTAAGGTTGAAATAATTGCTCGAGCATTCCGCTTGAAAGATGAAAAACGTGGAGTTGTGTGAAAACCATGCTCGAATGATAATTTCCCTGCGTTTAGAAATGCAGTAATAATGCATTATGTTCATGGTAAACATGTGACTTAATACCCAATACCCATGGACAATGGACATGCTATTTAGCTACCCTAATAGGATCTAAACACTACCGAATAAATCAGTGAATTGACATCATGGTTTCCTCAGAGGTGAAGATGAGATGAACCACAAGATGAGATCATGCTAGTGCAACAATTATATGATCACGTGATCGTAGTCTGATGTTTACCATCATGGAGAGCCTCGATCGTGGAGCCGGGAGACCGGAGAGCCGGGACTGGAGGTTACTGTTCCTTGGGATGCCGAGGGTAGGAGGTTCGGTTTCTCCATCATCGCTCTATAATCAGGGGTTGTAAAGAGGAGTGCTTTAAAAAGAGTTTAGAGGGTTAGAGATTTAGAGGGTGGTATTCAAATTAGGGAATACAGTTTGGTAGTTAAATTTGTATTAAAAAAGGGGTTGAAAATGGTAAATTCGTAAAGTAAGTCATCAAGGTATTGAATCGAATAACGTGTTATTAAAATGTTTGCTATTTTATCGCAAATTCATTGCATAATTTTTCTAAAATGCAGTTTTATAATGATCAATCATGCATCATAGCCTAAAGTAAGACCAAATGTTGTGTGGCAAGTTGACGCTTGACATCATGTTGCAGTGATGACTTAACTGATCCGCACACGCTAAAATATCCCCCATTATGTAACGGCTAATTTTGGGAGAAATTATAAAATCTGGTGGTTTGTGGTAACTATGATGAATATAAGCATTCATTATCAAACATTCTGATTAACTTACTATCAATTATTAAGGCTTCATCAATTTTGAATGCTTCAAAACCCATAACATTGACATAGAACAGATAGATTCAAACCACAGTGGATCATACAAATCCCAAATCAATAAAATCAAACGAGAAAATGTGGCCATGCACTTTTAAATCAATCAGATAACTTGCTTGGTAATACCTTACGCCAAATCTAAACGTAACTTATAATTAAAAGTAAACCTGAATTAGGGTTCAGAGAAGAAAAGACAAGTTATCTCACGTAACCCAATGAGACAGATTTGAAATGTTGTTTGTCAACATTTTGTGCTATTCAAGCAGAAGGATGATAAGAGAAAGTAATACCGGAAAGTTCATACCTTGGGAGTGGACGTGCCAGACCGAGAAGTCCCTTTACTGGTTACAGAGGTCTTCGGCTTGGCGGGGCTTTTAACCAGAGCCACCTAGGTCATGGTGGTTAAAAATTCAAAATATTGGTCGTGTTAATAATATGACATTTTCTACATAAAGGTTTTGGAGACCGTAAATAATACTTATTATGTATATATACGATACATAAAAAGTTTTACAAAAATATATATATTTTTGTAAAACTTTTTTTGTAAAACTTGTAAAACTATTATGCTGTATTAGGGATGCTTAAATGCTCACCTGGTTTTGACGCACGAAAATACCATGATTTGGTTTACATTTGAAATAAGACTTCCCTTGCACCGTACCATCGTTTTTACCCTTTGCATCAGGTAAAGTTACCCCTGAAATTTTAAAATTAACTGACCTCAAACGATTACATCAAACTTTTATTTCAAGTGATTGACGAACAAATCCTTTTACCAGTTCAAGAAAACCGGCAACAACAACATTCGGTAACTATCTAGCGACCAAACTCACCGATCCATTTGCCCTGAGCAAAGTCAGTGTTGCCGATGAAAGATATCTCACCCTTCAGATCCTTCCCAATCACCTCAACATTGTCACCAACTTTAAACTCTGACGCCATAATTTACACGTCTTACAACATACCTAGATAATATAATATAGATATTAATTTAAACGTGGAAATTATCATAATAACGATATAACACACCGGTATAATTTTCTACATAACTTTGTATTATTATGTACTTGAGCGAAATAAAGTATGTTTTATAATATGCCCACATGGATCACAACAATAAACAGGATAAGAAGTGTCAACTTTGTGTGAGGAACAAGAGTACAGCTGGTAATATTCAAGCAATATTATATATGAGAGTATGAGAAGGGAGACACAACAAATTATACACTAGCCATTGCACCGCACAGTAACAAAAGATCAGTAATTACATTTAAGTAATTAGCTGTTCCTGCACGGTGAAACCTTGCAGGACGGGAGTTTACTGATGTACATAATATTCTGACTTGAATAATAACTGGTGGTTGTAGAAACCACTGTAATTTGATATTGAATTATTCAAAAAATTGTCAGTACGATCGTTTAAGATTCTGACTGTATTTAAAACTCGATTCAAGAACACTGCTGGTGAAATAAGATAATATTATGGTATTAACGTCTATTATACAATATACATGGAAGCAAATTTAGAATATTTTACAGATTTTAAAAGAATACAATACATAAAATATTATATGTAGCACTTTGGCGTCATTTAAAATTAAAACTTGTTCATTGCACCGGGGTATGGTATTATTGGAAATTCGATGATGACTTCTTATCAAGTATGAAACTAACACGCGTTTGAGTTAATCTAAATTACGAATTAATTAAAAATTAGTACTGTATGCATGCCTTATAAGCCAATATATCTGATAAACTGAACAGAAAAATTATGGTAATATCCGCCAACATTGGTAAAACACATTCATCCAAATTCTGAAATACATTCCTATATTAAGAATTTGCATAAATCTATAAATCGATTAGAACCATTCGAATATCATTATTATTTAACTATTAAATGCTACTGATATGAGATCCCATTAAAATACTAAATGTGAAACAGAACCCCAAAATCAACACACACCCTACAGTCTACACTATAGGTCAGATTCAAACCTAGATTCGAATTCACTTTAAAATCATCGACATTATGAATGATTATACAATTTAATAATATTTCGTTAATGTTCATTATATTTACACAAAATAAAATTAACAATGATGACCAAAATCGCTAGCACAGTTTTGTCATCAATATTAACCAAAAATTAATGGAGCGAAGCTTTGGCTTAAATATGCACAAATTTATAATTGACATATTGCATCACGTTAGAATGAATATGATTTGAAATGAGTTTTGATTAAATTTTTAATGATTGATGTTTGTAAGATCATAAGATAATTTTCATAAATAACCCATCTGAAGCAGCGAACCAACATCTGCAACATTCAATATATTTTCTCCAGAAGTAAATCGTTTTTATCAGCCCAAGATCATAAATGATGTGTAGTGTATAGCAAATATCCATCCATTATTCCATTGTATATATTATTAATATAATTTGTATCTCTGATTCTAGGAAAGTTCTTCTTCTCTACATTAGTTGAAGTTTTATTATTTTCTGCTTTACTTCCCTGATGGTAAGGTAAGCAGCTGATTTGCATGAGAAAGAATCTCGGTGGGATGCATAAAACTCATTCACTTGCTCTTGCGTAGGATTCAATCCGTGCTCTCGGAAAAAGTTGTACACATGCCTGAAAAATGATAAAGTAAGTAAGAGACTTTTAAGCTGAGCTTACATAAAAGTTACAGTTTGATGACGATATTTCTCAACTTATTATCTGTATAAATGTTAGAATTTATTTTATTATTTATAATTACGGCGCAGTCCAACAATACCTGTATCTCGTATCTGGAGCAGTTTGGTGACCCGATGCTTGCGATCTTCTTGACGATTTCAATTTACATACTTCTGCACTTTCCAGTTCTAAAAATAAAATTTGAGTTAGTTATTACCTGAAGTGTCCACATTACATTGTACAATTATACTACAATACATCTTGTATTGTAAACGGCATAATACGTGGTGACTGGTGATTTTCATGATGTTTAAAATTTTTTTGGTACAACAGCACAATATAAACGGCAGATAAAGTGACAATATGTTTTGTATAGATAAATTGTTTGATACATCCTACATTTCCTCACCTGCAATTGCATAAGACAGCAAAGCTGAATCATTCAAAAGTTCCATTTTACTCGATTCACCAGATGATGAGCTGTTTGCTGACTTTAAGGAGTCCATTGAAGAACTAGTCACCATGGTGGCATCACTTGTAGCAGTTGAAATTGTAGGAGAAACTGATAAGCCACCCTCATTTCTCATGGTGGTAGCATGAAGCTGAAGGTTAGAACAGTTTGATGCTGTCTTGCTGATGTTGTTACCCATTGGAGTATGACTCTTCTGGTGAACCACTTTATGAACTAAGTTTGGGTCAAATTTTCCACTTGAATGAACATTTTGCACAAAATGATTTTTTGTAAATTGTCTATGAGATGGCGATGTGCCCATATGAATTTGCTTGAAAGAAGAATCTGACATTGTTTGCTTTTCACTATTTCCACACCCACTTGACTTTCCCTTTTTGCTACAGTATTCCTGTCTCAATCTGTTCACACATTTGGATGGAATACTGTTCATCTTCTTGACAAAAGTTTTACGTGATGAAAAGCAAGGATTTACTGAGCTTGTTTTACTGGCTCCTTTAAGCAAGCTATATGAATAAGTCTCTGCTTTGCGCATATCCTCCCCATTGTATTCATCTTCAGGTTCTGTTTTGACGTGGACTCCATGTGGTTCAGATTTGAAGTCAAATATATCTGCTTCAATCGGAAGGTTTTTGTTCTTCTTTGGGGGCGATTTCATCATTGTGCTTGGGTCTGTATCAAAACTTGTTACAGATATATTTCGTTTTGGTGAATGAGTTGAGTATGTGGTTTTTGTATAGTCATTTCTCACCTTGTGAGGGCTTCTTGTGTAGCTTTTTGTGAAATAGGGGTTAATTTTTTCGAGAGCAGAAGTCAAGATACTATCGTTCATAGAATGTCTACGCATTCGCACCAAGTATTTCTTGTTGTTGGCAGTATTTTCTGGTGTATTGGGTTTGGCAAAATTGTCCTTGTTTGAAACTTCTTCTTGAGATACAGTTCTTCTGATATATATCCTGTGCATAGGTTTCTCTGATAAGGAAAGTGATCTTTGCTTTCCGCCTCTCACAGGCTTAGGTGTGGGGGAAGGTGATGGTTTTTGCTTAAAATTCTTGTCAGCACCTGAAATTTTAAATGTTCATTATATTTTTCAAAAAGTATTCTCTCATAATCCCAAGTTAAAGAATAAAGATTTTAGCTTTTTGAAGCTATCGTTAAAACAAGGCTCAATCACAATAGTGTTACCTTAGTCCTTAACTTAGTAAACACTGATATGCAATTTACATAACAAGTGCTTAAATATTTTAATCATACTTTGTCAACTAAATACTTAGTTCCAATCAAGTACACACCCTCATGCTTTGAAGATTCAGTTGCCGCACACATAGGGTGTCTGAATAAGGAGGGTGAACACTTTTCCATGCTCTGAAAAATTAGTTGCTCTAGTGAATCACAATCCAGTTAGTGCAGTGCAATTATTTCACTGACTCCAAATTGCATAATTTTGACTGGAAGACTTTTAGAAAGAGCAAGTTCAAATATTTATAGTTTTATATTCAAAAGTTTAACAATAAATATTTGATGAACTTCGTTAAAGCTTTTTAGAAGCGTTCAATTTAATAATCTACCTGCTGGAAGATCTGGTTATTATCTTCTGCACATTGCTCTTCTTTTATGTGACTTTCACCAGAGGAAATGTCTTTGCCTTGCATCAACAATATCTCGTTTTTAGCCACTTTACTGTAGACAACTTTTTCATCGTCAGGGAGATGTGTCCACAATTGAACAAGTTTTTCATTCACCTTATCTGCAGTGAGAGCTGTAAATAATTGAGGAATATCCGGTTAAATTACTGAAGATATGCAAATAATCTTATAACATATTATAAAGAATGACACAATTCTTAGTTCATTTTATCAGGGAGCTTATTTATCTAAACTTATTTGGACAACACCAGTATGGTCAACTAAAATCAACAACTTACAGGGGTTGTGTAGGAGTATGGTATCACGGTGTATCTGACAAAACTTCACAAATGCAATAGACATCTCTTTGTAACTATCGTTGTTCTGAATGAGTAGATAATATGAATAACCATTTCATCATAATCTATCGCATACCTATTACAATTTACCGTGTCTTAATTTGATTTCAGAGTTTTATCATCATTCATGTACCTCCTCATTCAATGGCACAGGTACAAGTCGAACTGGGGAATTATACATCTGCAAATTGATATTGTAGGTATTGCCAGCATATGACAGGGAGGGGATGGCTTGAGTCCAGTCGTATATAGGTATGTAGCCAGTTGTGTTCCCTGAGAGTAATACAGTTAATACTTTTAAAACAGAGTCGGAAGACATAGTTTCAAGGTTTAAATAGCAGCTTAAAATATATAATTTCCGCATCAAACAAATTTTTATAGAAGGCATGATTTTGAATCATTCTCGTTCACTTGTCAAGCACCTCAAAGTGATTCATCCCTACATTGATCTCAAGCTACTGGGATATAATTAACTATATAATGCTACCTTCAGCAGCCTCTCCATTCACCAGTTGATCGTTAAATTTCTTTGGAAATGAAGGAGGTGTAGTCTTGAGAGAAAGCAAAATTGCTGCAGCATCAAGTTGGCTATGATCTTCAACAGTTGCATCACGAGATGTTTTCTTCATCGAACACAACTTTTGAAGATTACTTCTTATCCAGCCTTCAAGGTCATAATCGTAAGCTGATAAATAACAATTATGTCAATATTTTAACGAGTCAGGACCTTTTGGCAGGCTCCTCCTCATTTTACATTTTTTAATCAATTTGCAGAGCTGAAGGTGCAATGAGACCTGCAGATACCCAATTGATTCTAACAACACCCATAGAAAGTCTATTCCTATTTAAGCAAATGGAGGACCTAACAGAACAAAACTGCAGTGATAAATTTACTCAAAAGATTTAATTGCAAATTTTGACTATAATATACCACCTTATCATTAAAGATTATTATTAAATCTAAAATATCTAATAATTTAACTGATTGTTGACCGTCCCCTTCAAGTGGACAATAACATATTATTTATAGTAACACGAATGGCGTGGGCCTTACCCGTGTAAGTGAGACTCCACAGCAAGGTATTCCAACTATATATAATATATAATAGTATAGTACTATTGTTTACAGTACTCAACAATTGAAGATTCGAACAATATACACATAATATAGCAATGGCCCTATATAAAAATTCTATAAAAATGTAAAATTGTAATAATATATAAAATCCACAAATTCACATCACAACAAAAAGCAGTTTAGACCCTCATCCAAAAAGCACTCCATGACCTTTTAGGGTTTAGGAGTGTTGATCAGGTTAAGGTCCAAATCACTTATCGCTGTGGGTGGAAGAGTTCTGGTACCTCTGTACCCCCTAATAGAGATTATACAGGTTCTGAGTAGATCAAAACGCAGTCTGCGTCTGACAAATGACATCACATCACAGTACCGTTGGTCTTTCTTAAGGCTGTTCTTTTCAGCGAGATGTTTTAGGAACTCAACAATTTATGTGCAATGAAGAGTAGTGGATAAGGATAGTAGAAATTACATCAGTGTACACTCTACAAGAGTATATAAGTTTGCAAAGATAAATCAAAAGAGTCTTTAGGGGTCGTTCACATGTTACATAATCAGCCGAGGGGAAGGGGTTTTAGAATGATTACGGGTGATTACAGGGGGCTTGGTTTTTTCAAATGCCACAAAATTAACTACATACTATGTGCAGTGAACGACCAGTGTTAAAAATCTTAAATTTTCAATTAGTTTTGTCAGTATATTTTTGACGGCTCCAACGTTAATGTGGCTCTTGCTTTGTGTTGGTTCAGCCGAATTAATTATTATGTAATCAAGTTTATTTTTCTCTTTTAGTTAGTTGTCATCCGGCCAAACATTAAGCAACTTATATTGCAGTACCTTTTATCAATTAGTTTATCAAAATATGTCATTGTAATTTTGCATGGCTGAAATGTAACGCTTGATTTATATATTATATAATAATTAATTGAATTTTCAAATAATAAAAAAATACTCTAATGTATATTTCAGAATTTGCCTTCCTTATATGACTAACAATCTTACATTATGACTATTGACTAACAATCTTACATTCAGGAGCTTTTGACGGTGCCCTTCTTCATTCGCAAGGATCGCAAAAACCTTAACGGGTGATACTTGTAAAATATCTGTTCCAATGTCGACGAGTCCAACTCGGCGCGCGTCCTGGTAGGTTGTAAACCTACAACAAAAACCCTATTGTGTACAAAGTTGGCTTTAATAGGTTATCAAGAAAACAACAATTTACACATCACAGCTAACCACAGCGCCAATTTCAAAATGTTAACATAACATTATAACATTATAAATAATGCCTCTCTGGGCATCTCAACATAGAAATTCGCAGACAATGAACAATTTACGTTTGAAACCATATAATTACAAACTTTTTAAAAATTCAACTAAATACCTTTGATATTAACCTTCTTCCTCTTAGCTACCATTGGATTCTCTTTCATATAACTTACATAACTATTCATATTAGACACAGACACATCTATCCTATCAATGATGTCATATGACAGTTCCTAATAGTGGCCAAGCTTATTTTCCTGATATCCATGAAGCCGAAAGGCATTTTATCCACTTTTAAATCCAGTAACAGACTCACTAGTTTTCACAAGTGGTGGTAGACTGTTCCAGTAGCGCAAGACCCTTTGGGCAAAGAAGTCAGTTTCATTTGTGGTAAATCTGTGTGGCTTTGACCTAGCCATGAGTCTACGCCTTCAGCAGTCGCGTGTTACTTTTATTAGAGCAAGTTGCGAAGTAAAAATGATAATTTGCAAAGTACAATTGATAGTTTCCTCATTGGGAGGACGGTAAGCCTCCTCCTAAATGGTTTCATTGGTCCTGTTAGGATGTGCCTTGATTATGGGCTGCCACAAGGCTCTGTTCTGTCACCAATCCTTTTCAAATTTTATGTGTTCGACATGGAGACCCTGTGTCAACTGTATGAGCAGATTCAGGCCTTCAAATTTGCAGATGATGGAACCATCAAAGTAACTGGAAAAGATCTTGAAGAATGTCTCTTTTACCTAGAGCTGGCGATGGGATTCATAGGGGAATGGACTTCTCAATGGAGGATGGTCATAAACTGTAATATGAATAAAACAGAAGTTATATGTTTCCAATGCCAAGATGCTTCAGCTGTTCCCAAATCCTTTGATCTATGTGGAAACACCATCTATCTCACAGACAGCAGCAAAGTACTTGGTATAACACTTGACAGTAAGTTGAACTTCAAGCAGCACAGCCAGGATGTATACAACAAGCTAATCTACTGCTGGGTTTGTCTGAGCAGGTATACAAACCGTAACTGGGGGATGAATTTACCTGCATAATGATTCTTTTGTCAAGAAGAATCATTATGCAGGTAAATTAACTGACTGCTCTGGTGATAGTAAGAAAACGTGGGAAATCATAAACACTATTCGTGGAAAATCCAGGCGTGAAATAAAGCCATGTTTTATCCTTAACGATCAAAAAATAATAAATCGTAGGATGATTGCTAATGAATTCAATAAATATTTTCAGTCGATTGCATCCAAACTAAATGAAAATTATTCTGAAGATTATATAACCCTGGATGCAATTCCCTCATTCTCAAACTTCTTACCTAAAACCTGTGAGTCAAGTATATATCTAAGTGATTGTACACAGTATGAAATTATAGATATTATTAATGAGTTCACAAATGGTAAATCTAGTGACATTCCAATTCACGTTATAAAAAAGTCTGCTAGAATAATATCTCCCTTTTTAGCCAAGCACTTTAACCATTGCATGCAACAGGGGATATTCCCAGATGAACTTAAATTAGGAAAGATAAGTCCCATCTATAAAAAAGATAATCAGGAACTATTTGAAAACTATAGGCCAATATCAACCTTACCAGTATTTGGAAAAATTTTAGAGAAACTTATTTATAAACGTATGTACAGCTTCCTAATTGCTAAAAGAATCATTTATGAGAACCAATTTGGATTTAGAAAGGGTCACTCAACAAGCCACGCACTGAACTTATCTGTTAGCCATATCGAATCACACTTAAAAGACAGGAAACACGTTCTTGGCATTTTCATTGATTTAAGTAAGGCTTTCGACACGATATCTCACGAGAAGCTTTTATTCAAATTAAATAATTACGGAATTAGGGGCAACGCACTGAATTTGATAAAAAGTTACCTGTCAAACCGGAGCCAATATGTTCACGTCTTAAATGAAAACTCCGATAAACTTCCTGTTGAGTGGGGAGTTCCCCAAGGCTCTGTTCTTGGTCCCTTACTATTCCTCCTGTATATAAATGACCTATGCAACGTATCTAATAAAGGCAAGTTTATCTTATTTGCTGACGACACTAACCTATTCGTTTCTGCAGACTCGAAAAAAGACGTTTATAATGTAGCTAACGATATTCTTTCGTCTATTTCTAGATACATGAAATGTAATCTACTACATATTAACGCTAAGAAGAGCTGTTATATGTATTTCTCCCCAAACAAACGTGTAAATGAATCGTCTACATGCAGTACACCCGATGATTTAAATCTCTCCATAGACGGCTCCATAATAATACGTGTTAAAACAACTAAGTTTCTAGGTGTGCTGATTGATGATAAACTGAACTGGAAACCTCACATCGAATCACTAAATAAGAAACTAAGAAGTGCTTGTGGACGTATTTACCGCATAAAAAACTGTCTACCTATAAAACTGCACAAGCAGATATACCACACACTATTTGAATCACACCTTACGTTCGCCATCTCAGTATGGGGTGGTGTCTCTAACCAAGTTATCAACCCTGTATTCTTAACACAGAAGAGATGTATTAGAATAATTTTTGGAGATGCAAACTCATACCAAAACAAATTCAAAACATGTGCTCGTTCTAGACCTATTCAATGTAAAATACTGGGTAAATATGAGTCTAATGTTAATAACTCTGTTAATCCACGTATTAAACCATGTGCAAAGTGTGTCCGCTCTAAATCGGTAGTTCATAATAAACTTGTTAGACCCTTATGTTGTCAAAAACTAGGAGCTGAATTCTATTCCAAGGAATCAACCAAACCATTATTTAACAGTCATAAACTCCTTACTGTTCATAATCTTTACAAACTTCGTACTATAACTGAACTTTTTAAAATAGTGAAATATAGGGTACCCATATCTCTCTACTCTTTACTTAACATGTCTGAACTGAGGGATGACCGTCTAATACCACCAAAGCCAAGCCATAACTTTATTTATAAATCTTCTTGGCTTTGGAATCAATTCAAGGACTCCAATCCACAGAATAAACCTGACTTTGTGAACACATCCTGTAACTCAATCAAATCAAGGTTAAACCGATCTCTTCTAGATGCCCAAAGCAGGTTCGATAATGAGTGGCATAATGACAACTTTAACAGTTTTGGACCATGCTAGATTATTGATAAAAACGTGGAATTTATGTAAACAAATACTCAATTACTTAAATATTGTCGTTTCCGTACGGCGCTATACGTAATATATGTTAAAAGCGCGCCGCAGCTACTCCCTACCTCAACATTTGCGCGGGTTTCTTAAGCGCGCACGTACGTTTATTCTTGGCCGTTAATCAGACCCATGACATAACGCTATAGGTGGCAGTG